AATACAGTATAGAACGATGCAAAGCAATATAAATAAATGACTGCACCAATTTAGTCGACATATTTGTTGTACTATAGACATTTACTACGCCGTTCATCTTCATTTGGTCGCATCTATTCAATACAACAAACAGCCTGTTGACGTTTCAGTGCAAAAGTCACACCATTATTACGTCCACAGCTCGTGCTAGTCGAATGTTTCTATCGAGTCTTAGTATAAATCTACTAGCGTTCTTTCACGAATGCCGTTCAATGATTGGCTAGGCTAGTCACTATTTAGTATAAATCTAGCGTTCTATCGCAAACGTCGTACTCTGATTGGCTACGCTACTCACTATCTATTCTGTGATAGATAGTGAGTAGCGTAGCAGTGTGCTCTTATTAACAAAATGACGGCCGCTTCTTGGCGTTTTCGAAGTGTTAGATAACGTTTTGAACGACTAGTAGATTTATACTAAAACAATTAGATTCTGAGCTCGAGATTTCTATGCGTGATAGTTCACCACTAAATTTTTTCTGCGATAGAAATCTCGAGCTCAGAATCTAATTGATTATCTGTTTTAGATAGTGAGTAGCCTAGCAGTGTGGGGTTGTTAACGAACTGGCGACCGCTTCTTGGTGTTTTCGAAGTGTCTGTGAAGAGGATTTAGATAAAGTTTTGAACGACTAGAAGATTATTCTAAGACAATTAGGTTATTCGCTCTCGATTTCTATGCGAGATGGAAATCTCAGCTCATAATCTAGTTTTTAAATAGAAGTGCATCTTTTTGCACGCGTTTTCTCACGAGGTGTTTTTTAAATGTATTTTCATGACTACAACTGTTAGAGTGCTGATTTGCGTAAGATGAACGTTGTACGTTAACAGCAACTGATAGCAAATGTAAGTTAGGCGCACATGTTACCCGCGTGAAAAGCGCGGGAAAATGCTGCATTATTGAATTTACAATTCGTTCCGGTCTTGTAATCTGATTGGCTCAAAGACTGTTCATTCATCTGATTGGATAGAAAAGGTATTTAACGTCAGCAAGCAAAATTCATGCAATGCAACTGGTAGATCAGGAACATTCGCATTTTGTCGCTAAACAATGCAAAAACGCAATTTATTCAAAGAAATCTCAGACTCTGCGTCCCCTAAAAGAGAAGTTTTAACTCTTAGTAAATATTCTCGACTTGTGATCATGCTTTTAACTTAAAACGGATTTGTTTTTATATGTATCGCTTGTATTTATACCCCAATTTACAGCAGATCGTTCGTTGGATAAAATATTATTTAGACTATTTCAATTCTTAACAGACTTAAAGCAATGAGTCGCCCTCCTTTCCTCAGTTTCTATTCGCGAGTGGAAATTGATCAATTCTGTGAATTTCGCGACACGCATCATTTTGACACTTCTTCTTTCTTCTTTCGCCAGACAGAAAGATACTGCTTTCAGTTTTTGAGCAGATTTTTCTTGTACGTTTTTTCATTAGGAAAATTTTAATTGATGATTAAGTTATTTAATGACAAGCAGATTACTTGCAATTAACAGATTATTACGGTAAATTTGAACGCTGCACCAGTTTAAACTTAACTAGCAATTGAATAGGGGTGAAATGTTGCAAACATCTTTGTAAATACTGCATTGAACGCTTTGTTACAAATTTTGTAATATACAGGTTTTGTAATCTTATTTTGTAATCTTATAAAAACACGTTAGATATATCATGCATTCTGTATATGTGATTGTAAATAGCTAAATTACGGTCTGTATAATGAAAAACGCCACTGTAAAATTGAAAGCTATCTTGACTGAGGAATATTTTGAGTTATTTTCGTGCTTTGAGTGAAAGTACAGATATGCGCGCTTACTCATTGGTGCGATTAGCAGCAGACGAAAAGGATCGCGGCCTCTGGCGAGGGGAAGGACAAGTCCGCTCTTGGTCCAATGTGTGATACGGAGAAGGACTGGCACGAGCGTTCCTTCCGCGCTTCCGGTGAGATAAA